GGGAGGAGACAAGCACTTGGCCTTGGATTTGCATTTCCCTCCAACATGAATTCATAATTATTACTTTAGTCTCTCCCTTTTTGGCGCGTTTTGATTCCCGCCACGTCTGTGTCTGGCAGGCCGGTTAGCTTTATTTTCAGTCTGTGATTGACATGTGGTATTTGCTTTTTATTGGTGTAGAGGAGCGGAAGAGGGCGGGACCAATGTAGACGTCAGCCTTTGGTACCCGCCTCCTTACTATAGTCATATAAGGGTCCTCCCCCCCCGATCAGATATTTTCAGGAGCCGGTGTCAGACTGAGGCACTAGGTTGAACCCTGCCTTATCTCCTTATATCGCGCATTTTTACTCAACTGTTTACAAAACATTGCAGGGGACTGCCGTAGCTCGCGTTAGGTTTTCATCCTTTTGCCGGGACTACGTTTTTGGCTATATTTTCCTGGACCACAGGGACTGTTTTTTTGTCTGCTATTCGGATGAAAGGATCCCTACCGCATTTTTGTTCCTGCAACGTGGACTCGGAGCTCAGCACGGGAAAGACGCACTGTCGGAATAAAACTACTCCTTTCAACAAAACGAAGACGGAGGGCACACGTCGTTGACCTGCGGTGGATATTAAAGGAATGCTGCTGTCCAAGCTCAATTCTCTGGCCCACATCTCCACCGTAGACATGCCGGCGAAAATCCAGCTCCAGGTTCATCAAGGTTAGACGCCCTTTTTCTCCCCCCGCTGTGTTGTCATGGAGGACGGCGCTGCAGCAGTGGCTCAGTCTACACACGCTAGCAGCTAGTTTAACTTAATAACTGCCGAGGACGGTCATTTATTAACAGTAATGTTAGCCATGTTGCAATATTTTATATTCTTATATTAGCGCCGTTATATTGCGCTGTTTCCAGCGCGGATAAGCGGGTTTGCTCTCCGGTATTTACCGGCTATGTTTATACTGTGTTGCAGTGAAAGAGAGGGAGCCTTTCGAGAAGCTTTATCAGGTCGGCGCCGTGCTGGGCAGCGGCGGCTTCGGAACCGTCTACTCCGGAACGAAGATAGCCGACGGAGCTCCGGTTAGTACGCCATGTTTTAATATTAGAATACCTTTTTTATGTGCTCATTTATTTGTCATGGTTATTACATGTGCGGTTGTTGTACACGTTGTGTGACGCGGTCTCCCCTTTGCCATGGCAGGTCGCTGTCAAACATGTAGCCAAGGACAGAATCTCGGAGTGGGGAGAGCTGGTAAGAAGCAGTTTTATTATTAGCGCCTTTTTAATTAAGATGAAAAACATATTACTTATCAATACCCACACATGCGGGTTGGTTTAGGGCGTGTACGTGTGTATTGAGTGCTGTATTTGTCATTTGTCTCTAAAGCCTAACGGCTCTCGGGTCCCAATGGAGATCGTCCTGCTGAAAAAAGTCGGGACGGGCTTCCGCGGCGTTATCAAGATGCTGGACTGGTTCGAGCGGCCGGACAGCTTCATCATCGTAATGGAGAGACCCGAGAACGTCAAGGACTTGTTCGACTTCATCACCGAGAAAGGTGCCTTACCGGAGGACCTGGCGCGGAGCTTTTTCCGCCAGGTGCTGGAGGCCGTGCGGCACTGCCAGAACTGCGGCGTAGTGCACCGGGACATCAAAGACGAGAACATTCTCATCGACCTCCGCACCGGGGAGATGAAGCTCATCGACTTCGGCTCCGGAGCCCTGCTGAAGGACACCATTTACACGGACTTTGATGGTGAGTTCACTGCGCTCAGTATATAGTGCGCTGTATATTGTTTTTGTTTTTCACCTAACTTGTTTACATATACTTTTTATCGACATCATTAGGGTTATAAGGTTTTTGCCCGTTTAGACCACAGCAGAAATTCCCAGCTTGTGTAATCATACTCCACACAGCCGCCTTTTAGTACATGCTGGAAGGTTTTGCCTTAGTTTTGTTGCCCCCCACTGGAGGGAAGTGGTATTTTTACAACTCAAAGTTTGTAAACAAAGTCACATGTCTGCTCCCCCTCCCTCCAGTGCACTCTGTTACCGCACGCAAAAACTGCCTGTCACGCTGCCTGGCACCTGAGCCCAGATAACAGCCTGAGAAACAGGCTCAGCTGACAAATCCCCAGTCCTTGTTTATCATTCAACTCTCCCCAGAAATATTTTCATTTTCACTATTACTGTGTTATGATAAGTCACATGGTTTTCTGAGATTTTCAAATTTTCTTTTAGAAAGAGTACACCTTTTAAGCTAATTTGTTTCTTTTATTTTATTTTTGTCTCACAGGCACAAGAGTGTACAGTCCTCCAGAGTGGATCAAGTACCATCGCTACCACGGGCGCTCTGCCACAGTTTGGTCCCTGGGTATCCTGCTGTATGACATGGTGTGCGGGGACATCCCATTTGAACATGATGAGGAGATCATGAGGGGGCAGGTCTTCTTCCGGAGAAGAATCTCATCAGGTAAACCCACATTGCAGCTCATATACCAGCCTTTCAGTCACACGTTGCACATCATCTACTTTACTCATGTGTTGACCAGGACTAATTGCATGTTGCTTCCTTTTCACCAGAATGCCAGCAGCTAATCAAATGGTGTCTGTCTCTGCGGCCAGCCGACCGCCCGTCCTTCGAGGACATCTTCAACCACTCGTGGATGCAGAGCATGTCCTCCTCTGTAGTACCGTCCTCGGTGCAGACAGAGAACCAGACCACAGAAATCAGACTGCACAGCATCGGCCACGAGCCCTCAGCCTTCACACCCACCCCCGTGGCCGTGGCTCGATGATACGGGCGCGGACTGTTACAATTGGGCTGTTCTGGTCCGAACTGGACTGCACTGATACAAAAGACTTGAAGCAGAGTGGAGAGGAACGTTGGCCACCCACACCCCAGAGCAAAGTGTATGCAACTGCACACATCTGGCAGTTTCGGCCTGGCGGGTCAGACCCTCTTCACTGTCACGACCCCAACTACTTGAGTTTCCCAGCCATTAGTGTCATGACATCATCCTCGCTGGACGCTGATCTAGGCACCGGACGTCCGTGAGTCTGCAGGAGGGCGTGCTCTGGACACACCTGCTTTGAGCAAACACACACCTGTGTGGCTGTTGTGCTGAATGGCAAGAGGACAGAGTTACATAAGCTCTCGTTGCACCGCTCTCTCCCTCGAGATCACAGCAAAGAGGGAAAAGCAAAGACGCTGGTGAAGAGAAGCTTGACTTTAGTTTTTTTTGTTTTCTCAAAGAAAAGTGCCTTCTGTGAGATTGTTGGGGGGGTAGGCGCCTGAAAATACTTGAATTTGTGAAGCAAAAAGGCTTTTCATCAATGGCCTTTTTGCTCCTTACGCTCTACAAGGCTTTATAGCGTTTATTGCTGTCACTGTTTTTCCTCTCGTGGGCCTAGATCAGTAAAGCCTATGCCATTTATAACCACTACTATCACTATTTCTACTACTCCAATGTCATTAGCAACCAGACAACCTCATAGCTCTGGCAGCAACCTGTGCAAACAAATCATAAAAAAACTGGACTTACCTCACTCTTTACTACAGCATCCACCTCTATTCTACAACCTTTTCTTCCTCCTCCTTCTTGTGTTGTATACAAACACAAGGCTTAGGCAACCGCTCATTCAAACCCACCTGAATGCACACCACAATGCAAAACCATACCGAGATATAACATCCTCTGCTCTTCAATTTTTTTTCTTATAAACAGTGCCTCACACAGGTCTTAAAAAAATCGCTGGGGACGAGAATTGTAAATAAGAACGATATTTATTGTTGCTGTCTTCTTTTTCACACTCAATGAGGTTTTGTTTGTTTTTGGTCACAGATCTTATTTATTTATTTATGAGAGAATTTCGGCTGTTGATGTGTGCGCGTATGTGTGTATATATACAAATATATATATATATTTCATTCCACCATCACTGAAGGGCCCACATTATTTAAAAATAATAGCAGAGATGTGACCATATTTATGGCTTGAAAAATTTGAAAAGAGCAGATGTGTATGTTTGTATGTGTTGTAAATAACATGTAAATAGTCCCAAAAGCACTTCCATCCTAATGTATGTAAACATCCAATGTCTACTGATGGTAACTGGTTTTCGTTGCGCTGTTTGAGTGAATGTTGTGAGTGTGAGTGCGAGACTCAGAAGACTTTTCTGGCTGCATGATCGCAGCTTGGATATTTGTTTTGTTTTTCCATCTTTTCAAATTAGAATTGTAAATTATTTTAGAAGCTATTTTTATACAATTTCAATAAATATGTTTCTTTAAAACTATGACAACTTGTGCTCCTTTGTATTGCTTCAAAGAGTTCATTTGTTTTCTGGGGTTAAAAATAAACTTAGAACTGCAACAGACTAAAAATGGATTGACAACACTGCTTTTTTTTTTTTTTTTTAGGGTTGTTTTGGGGGGTGGGGTTTAAGCTAGAAACAACAATGGCCTATGCACTGTTTTTAACGCCTACAGAGAATTTACTAGGCCAGAAGGTTATACAACTTCCTGTTTAAGACTGTAGAAAAGCATCAGAAACGGGAAACGGATGAAGAGATAAGAGGATGGTAGATGGCATCAACATAGGGCAGGGTGCCTATATCTATGTTAGCGAAGAGAAAACAAGCTCTGCGCTTGGCTTTCAAGTGCAGATAGATATACTCAAGCACTAGCTTCAGTATTAATAATTATTTAAAGAAACAAAAGAGGAAAATTAAAAAAAGATTTCTAAGCAAGAGAATATAATTGTTCATTATAATTGTTCATTCATATACAACAAAGACCTTTGAGAGGAGTTGGGGCTTCTTAAAGTGTTCAGTTTTTAATAACAGGGAAAAAGGGAAAACCCAGGCAATCATTCGCTTGCTTATGAGTAGCATCTGGGGAATGCGGGAAGGAAGAACTCTTTTTTTTTTTTTTTTTTTTTTTTTTTACAGGAAAAGACTTCTCTGACAAAAGTCATGCAGAAGTGGAATGTTAGTGTCTAGGTGATCTTTCATGGATGAATAAAAGCATTTACCCCAGGAAATAAAAAGGCACGCTTATTCCCTGAATTCAGCGAAACAACATTAAGTATAACACGAACAACGATGGAGACCGTAGGAGAGTTTTGAAGTCTTGAGTGATGAAACCCTCCAGTAAAAATCAATATAATTCTACCCAAACAACATCAAGTAACGCTTTTGTTGACAATGGATCAAATATTTTATAATCAAAATTGCAATAAATTGTCAACAGTAAGTCTTAGTAAATATAATACAAAATAAATAAAGCACAACACTGCTGCATGCATTTTATTTCATTGTACTACAAGGAGTCCTCTTCACTTTTTCACCTCTTCACTGACTTTGTACCCTCTCTTAACAGTGATGAAGGGTTGCATTTCAATGATAAATAGCGGTATATAAAGGGCATAAAAAGGGTAAGGTAAAACTAGCTGCTCATCAATGAGGGAAAGTATATTTATATGAGGACCAACACTAAGTCAATTTTTAAGATGTGTGTATCTGTGGTTATTTTTGCTTTGTTCTTTTACTGAAATACATTTTAAAGGATTGTTTTGGGGGGTTTATTACATCTGGCCACTTCAGTTATTTTGTAGATAAAGATCTTACTGTAAAACTACAAAAGTCAATTAAAGCAAGATTTGAGTTGTAAAACTGAATTCTCCAACAACACAGCTTCATCGACTTGTTTAAGGGTCCTGAGCAGCTTTAAAAAATGAGAATTATTAGGGACTATTTTGGAGTATTTTTAGATGGATACATAAAAGTGAAGGATCTGAGAATTTTCGTCACCACCGCTCATTAAAGTATCAGTCATTAGGAATAAGGTTTGAACTAATTGCCCTCAGCCAATTCACAGCAGGATGGCCGCTTGTCTTCATGGGTTTAATCCCACTAATAGGCTGCAGATGCTCTTGTGGGTTAATCTAGACATTTGAGTGGTGATAGTAACCAGTGGGCAGCAGCCTATCGTGGATCTGTTCTCTTGGATAGATAAGAGCTGTAGGTTTAATCAGTTGTGATGCTCCCGGGGGGACTGCCGGCCTCGCCGCTAATCTTCCTTGAGACATCTCTGCCAGCACCCCACCTACAGCGAGACAAAGATTTACACAACATCAAATTACATGGAGGTTGGAAATGCTGGCGGGCCATCAGTCCCAGTTAGTGTCTGTCAGGTGAATATAATGTGTGTTTACAAGCCGAGATTTAAATGGACGGCTGAGAACTGAAATAAAGGACATGGGTGTGAAAGCGTTTATAGTTCCCCTAAGCTCAACAAAGCTTATTAGCATCTTTCAAATTATTGTTTTAGCCTCGCCGCTCTCAGGTTTACAGTTTTAGCTCGAGCTCACTGGTTACAGGAAGCAGTTTTTAATAGGAATGCTCTGAACACATTTAGCCCAGCCTTTCTCACATCAAACAACCGGCAGTTCCAGTTAGCAGCTAGCAGGTGACATTCCTCAGTGTCAGCTGAAAGGATGAAACGGTTTGTTTGTAGCTCCAAAGTTCATTAGGGATACCCAGAAGTGAAAAAAAGATATTACAAGTGTATTGATATTTTTTTTTTAGCTAGGCTAAGGAATGGTTATATAAATGGCAATGTCAGCTTTGGTCTACCCTGAACACAACTACTCACAACTACTTTAATGGTCCCACAAATTACCTTGCATTAAGCTTGCTAATGTTAGCTCATATCTTAGCACTCTATTCTCTTTCATATATTGCAACTTCTAGCTCCAAAAGAACCAACACAGTGTACAGGGGTGGCTGTATCTCAGGAGGTAGAGCATCCATCCGAATATGAATGTTGTTTAGGAAACGCTAAAAAGCTTAGAAGAAAGTGAATGTGTTGTATATGAGTACGTCAGGAGAGTAGAAAAGCGCTATGTAAGAATCAGTCTGTGTATTGTTGTGCAACAGGATGAAATGTAAGAACTTTAGAATCCATTAACTTCTTAAAAATGTATTGTGCAACATTCCTGAGCCACCCTTTATTTCTTTCTATTTTGCTAGAAAATGGGAAATGAAATGGGTGTAGTTTTTTTAAAACATGCAAACATAGAGGGAAAAACAATGTATAAGCCAAAGGTTTAAAAGTCAACGCCTTTATTATTCAATGCAACCTGGACCCTCTCAGGCAAACTTTCTTATAATTTCTTTAAGTAGTCTTCAGGAATAATTCTCTAGGCTCCTCGAAAGACATTCAAAGTCTTCTATGAATGTTGGCCTGTTGCCTTTTATTCTGGTCTTTGCTAAGATGAAATCGCACTGCTCCATTCTCATCATTGTTGAAAAAAGCAGTTGGCAGTGAAACATTTTGCAGATTACATGATGGATCAAAATCTAACCGTACCTTCCTGAGTTCATAATTCCAAAAACATCCTCAAGACAACCATAATGTCCCCATGACAGAGCCTGCACCGTCTTTTACAGCCTGTAGACACTCACTGCTGACAATCGGGACAAAAAAAATATGTTTATATACAAATTTGGATTCATCATTCCATAAATACTGCTGCTATTGAATTTCAATCCAGTTTCTGTATAATTTAGCAAACCTCAGCCTTTTTCCCCCTCAGCCATTTCTGATGAGTAACAGTGTGGTCAAAGGCATCTTCCAGGTCCTGTGAATTAAAAAAAAAAAGTTTTCTAGTCCTGGCACTTCTACTTTTGTTTTCCATTTGATGTCTCTTAGCAAATAAAAATATTCTTCTAAAAATGATCAGGTACAAGGAGTGGACTAAAAAGGAGCAGAAAAGCAGCCAAGGTCCAATAAAAAGCCCAGAGAACTATTGCTCGCAACCACTTTATAAAAATACATGAAAGTTTGGTTTCTTGGAAGTAAAATATAAAGAAATGAGGGGTGACTCGAGGCGCTCGCACAGTACTGCAAGAGTACTTGCTAATTAGCTAAGATGATTAAATATTTGCAGTGAACATTTACACTCTGTGCATGTTAGTTCAAATTACTGCTGTGCCTAAGGACAGCCTCACAGAGTATTTAACCAGGCTTCCAGTGGCCAGAATTAGCTTTTAGGCTTTTAATTGCCTGTAATCTTTCCCACTCATTATAATTAAAAAAAAGAAAAACATTCAGAGCTAATGTTTTAATGACTTGTCTTAATATGCTGCAGGATTTCTGACCTTATGTTGCAGTTTAGACAGGACCCCATAAATGACACATAATCACTGATTTGTGACATAAAGGGGTTTAATTCAGTCATCCTAATGCCTCACCCCTGCTGCACACACACTCATATAATCAAACTCTGGGGGTCACGCTCCTGGAGCACCATTTAATCCTCAGCCTATCCCTGCTATCTGTTCTTAGGTCAGCTTGTGCAGGCCCTTAAGCCCATCAGCTTGACACAGAGTTAAAAGCAGAAAATGGAAGTGGTTCAAGTCCCTACATGTATTTTTATAACAGATAATAATAGACAGGCGAGGGGTGTCTTTCAAAGGACAACACAACAAAATTAACTAAATATAAAATGTCATCTGCAGCATGAACTGAAAATGTCATGTCAGTGTTCGAGTTTCTTTGATCTGACGCTGGGTTTCTTCTTTTTCGGATTTTCACACACCGCTCTATTTCCCTGAAGAAGCTGCAGTGTATCGGAGACCACAAGTTTCTACGAATGACACCACGATTCATTTCCCCTTTCATTCTGAGAACCACATAACACTTAAAAGGCCGCCTCTGTTCTGTTGCACACTTGGAGCACGTTGGCTTTTATTCAGTCGGAGACAAAAAGTGGAAAGCAGGCAACAAGGGGCAGAGAAAACGTCCAGCAGAGCCACAGTTGCATCAACCCACACAGCGAGCTGCTTCGTCCTATTGTTCATTCGAAGGACTAATCATGCAAATCGCCTTCAGAGTCAAATGCAGGCTCAGGTATTTGCATGGACTGTCGTGAGTCACTGACACACATCCATCCCCCAACCCTTGTTCTGTGTTCATTTGACTGCTTTGCTTCAACCCTGAGTCATTACAAAAATAAGCCACAACGTGAAAGAGCAACAGCAAACACTATGATTAGCTTTCAGAGGTACACTGATAAGGCTGATGTTTCCCTGTGAAGAGACCCTGTGTGTGATTCTGACTCAGTCAATGTGTCATTTGTTTTGATCAAGCGTGTTGGGAATATGGTCTTCTCATCTGCAGCCGATATGAGCCAGAGGTTTCTCAACACCTTAGCAATCAGAGCTGATTGGTTCATCTAGGCCTTTTTCCCGTAAGCCGTGTGTCGTCACCTTTATCTTGTGAGAAAGAAACAAAAAGCCAACTTGTTGCCTAATCAACCTCCTCCCTGTTCCAACTGTTAGATGTAGAGCAGGGGCAGTTGGGCAATGTTCTGAGGAACTTCCTTCAGCCCCTACCCCGCCCCTATCGCTGTCACTCTCTCAGTCTGTAAGCGTTTGGCCCCCTTCTTATCTGCCTGCTTCCACTACACGACACACTACACACACACATCTACATTCTTGCACAAAGGACTTACTGAAAGATGAATGGGAAACCACGTGCTCCCTGGCCCAACCTGTAATTTACCTCCTTGAGAAATGTTGATGTTGAAGTACTATGAAATATGCAGTGTTGGGCTTTACATTAAAGAATGGGGATCAGAAACAGCACAAGTGGAACAGCAATAACTCAAGAGTTATTAATACATAAGTGATAAATGGATTGATTTTTACACAGCGCTTATACAATATGCCTCATTCACTCATTTACATCCATTCATACAAACACGTTTTTCTGCACCTAAGTGCTTTCTAATGGCCCTTTTCCACAAGTACCTCCTCGGTTTGGCTTGACTCAACTCAGTTTTTAAGGTTTTTCATTAGGTGGTAGTACCTGTTACCAGGTACTTTTTTAGCACCTACTTGGCCGTGGTTCTAAGCGATTTGAGTCAGTCCAAAAGTGTGACGTCAGCAGACTGCATGCCACCAATTGGCCAGTCAGTGGGGTCACTCGATGAGTCATGAGTGCATCTCCTTCTTAAAAATCAACAATGCCATTTTTGAAACCCCAGCAACGAAATTGCCTCATTGTCCTACATTGTTGTGCTGTAAAAACCCAAGCACATTAAGGTGGTACTCAACTGTAATAGAAAACGATCCAAACCAAGCAGTGGAAAAGAGGTATAACACACACATTCCAAGGAATGCATCAGAGAGCGACTTGGGGTGCAATATCTTGCCCAAGGTTACTTTGGCATGGAGACTCGAACAGTCAATGATTGTAGCACCAGCCTTCCAATTAGTAGATGCCCTGCTCTGCCTCCTGGGCTGCAGTCACTCCAAACTAAAGTGATAAAATACATAAAAATCCTGCTAGCTCATTAATGGAGTTAGAAATGTAAATTTATCTTGGCCTGATCTTTTGTTAACACTATCAGAGCAAGATAGCGATACAAGCGGCGTAAATTAGCTTTCCCCAAAGGCTGGCTGCTCTTTCTCTTAGCACTAGGGTTTAGTCATTCAGGAGGGGTTCAGAGTAGGGCTGTTCCTCCACATCGAAATGAGCCAGCTAAGGCTGTCGCCTCCTGGGTAAGGTGTTCTGGTCTGGCATGTCCTACCAGTGAAAGGCCCCGGCATAGACCCAGGACACACTGGAGCGATTACATCTATCAGCTGGCCTGGGAAGGCTCATTGGTTCCTCGGATAAGCTGGATGAAGAAGGAGGTCTGGGCTTCCCTTCTTAGGCTGTTGCCCCACGACCCAGCTTCAGATAAACGTAAGAAAATGGCTGGATGATTTATTATTTCGTTATCTTAGAATTTTAACTTTTATTAAAGTGATTGTCACAAATTTTCAAACTGCGCATCATTGATAATGCACGGCACAACGGGCCACACTTTTCCATCATAGTTTAAGGGTTTTTCGGATGTTAATTTGTCATATTTTAACAATACATGAACAACTTTTTGTAGTAACATATTAAACATTGGTTTATTGTAAGTGTTTTTTTTTCTTCATTGTCTGTCTGGAGTACAATACATTACACGTGGCATGATTCATTATTAAAGAATGTGATTAATATTAATTTTTCATATTTTTAATTTTTTTTTTATTTCAGATGCCTTTTTTTAATCAGTTTTTGACATTTTCAACTAAACATTCTCAAATTTAATTTAATATCTGAGTGTTTCTTAGTTTTAGACTAGTCAGTTAGTCTAATGTTTTTCACTCATTTAGCCCTAGCATAGTCCTATTAGTGAAATAGAAAGGTTGGAGTAGGACAATATGGGGCCGAATGCGTTAAAAATGGAAGGTGGCATAGGTGGGTTGTTCCGTGAAACATCAGTCAGTGTCTCAGACCTAACGCCTTCAGAATCAGCTGATAAAGAAGTACAAATGGGTGGGTCAAAATTTGTGCTTTTTAATTTTCAAAGATTTTGTTTTGCAGCATTTTCAAAACATTAATAAATAATTTCATAAGTACAGGTGATAGACATCGTAAAAAAACAGCAGACTGTTCCAACCTAAAGTTAACTCAAACTCAAATGAGTGAGAGGGGCTTGCCATTTTATATCAAAAAAAGGTGAGCAGGAAATGAAGAAACAAACTGTTTCCAGACACTTATAGCATTCTGGAAAAACCACAGGACATGTTAATAATGTCTTTTGTTTGTTTTATTTTTAATTTAACAAGCTATATAAAAATTTGACTACATTAGAAAATTATTTTTGATCAAGTGGGCGCATGGCAATGAGATGAGCTTGGTGTCAAAATGTAGATAACACGGAGCCCTTTCATTTGCTATAACTGTTTTGTAACCTGACGTTAACCACCTTTTAAGGTGTACCCAAATATGCTTATAGAACATTTCAACAGTCATCACCCTGAATGCTGTATCTGCCATCTGATAACAAATGCTTGTTTCTGTTATTCAGTATTATAATTATCAATAGACAACAAAAATATATGAGCATTTTTGCTGCTGACGCGATGCTATAACCCATGGTCCTAATGCTCAAAGTGTATAAAAAAAATCCATGGAACAAAAAGAGAATTTTGGATTTGGAAACTTTTTTTGAATGATTTTGTTACCTAATAAGTCAGTGTTCAGCTCTGAAGCAATGCTATTGCTGGCAAGTGTGGGGCCAGTTGACATTTAGGTGACAATGCACAAGACACCTTTCAGTTCCTTAGAACACTATTTATAGTTTCCGAAGAAGTTAAAGCGGGTATGTAAAAATAAAAAAATACGTCAATTCGCTAGATGGTTTATCGTCCTATACGTGCATCTCTCATGAGGACTTTGCCTTTTGAGTCTTGAAATCCACATTGTTGGTAATACTTTTAGCAAAGTAAATATGTGAATGCACTGCTGTAAATGGCGCACACATAATCTTTTTTGAACCCTTTTTCTCCACACTGTATTTTCCTTATTCCATAGTTTTAAAGAGTTACTCTTGTAACTGTTCCTCATCATAGATTGATATCCAAAAAGCAAGCTCTGATCTTTTTGTGGAAATGGCACACATTTTTACAGGACACGCTGACACATGAAGCGAGGAGGAGGAAAATAGCTCCAGTTTCTTACATGGTTCCACCTTGATAAGGTCACTTCAACCTCATAATGGAACTCACACAAACAGTAAACGAGTAATAATGGTGG